CCTGCACTGATCAGGCTTTGATGCGTGCATGCACTGTTTAAACTGCACTTACTTCTTTGTGAGATAACAAAGATGGATAAAGGTGTGCCTGCGAGTGCTTTTTGCATGTGCTGCTGCATCGCTGCCGCCCACTGATCTCTCTGTGCGCGCCTAGAGGCCCTCCGAGGCCGCGTGCGTAGCAAAACAAGCGCACCTGTGTCTTCAGTCTACGCCGCGCAACCCGAGCTTACGGGTGATGAATCAAACTACTCCTGTCCTGCTTTCTCACTATTCATTTCATTCATAAACCCAAAAATACTGCACAAGTCGTCGATTGGCTGGGGCGGCGCTACGCAAAAAGACGCCGTACTCTCCCCCGCCAATGAGAGACGAATAGTACGCTCGCTCCATCTCTCTCCTGGTTTTCATGCTCCCTCTTTAACCCTCTCTTATTTTTCGCTCTCTCTCTCTCTCAGCCTCAGTGCATTACAGCAGTCAAAACAACCGCCTGGCTGAAGAGAGCGTAGTGCAGAAACAAGTGCTGTGTTTTCAGGGGGGTAAAGGGAAGGAACAGCCGGGCAAGCCTACCAACCTGCAGCGTCACATGCCTCGAGTCACTCCTAAAACCCCCTTCCCTGAGGGAGTGAGCCTTAAGTGATGATGACTTAGTCCTATGTCACACTTTAAGCCAAGCCATCTGTGTGTTTTGTCCAGTGATTCAAAACCTTCAAAGCCACCACACATCATGCACTTGCAGCCAACAAGGAAAAGCACTTAAAAAAAAAAAAGAAACCTCACAGAATGATTGATCGCCCGATTGACAGTTGTATCGACTGAACTTTAAGTGAGCCCTCTTGAGATGGGAAGGTGGTTGACGTCGAACCTAATTCGATATGACCCAATTCAATATTCACTCCCCCCCTTCCTCCGATGTGCAAATCTTAAGCGACACAGAGAAGAGCAAAAAAAAAAAAGAAAGAAGAAGAAACAACAACAAGAGAAGCACACATGAATCAATAATAGCAGTGATCCAGTGACTTCATGAACTCGGTGTGAGTGTGCCACTGTTTGTGGGGAACTGGGTTGACAGGGTTCATGAGGGATTTTTAAGGTACCACACTGCCATCTATAGTCAGGCTCGAAGGCTGTAGGCACCTGACGGATTACATCATCATGTCGAGGGCGATGATGTGTTTTTCTAAGATGCTGTGGCTCAGACAAAGAGAAGCAGGGACGGGAAAAGAAGAAAAAAGTTTACAAGGTGCGGGTGCTTCTGTATAAATAAAGAGGAACATCAGAGGCACTTCTTTTTTTAAACTGAGCTTTAGAATATTTTAGATCACTTTTTTTTTTTTTTTAAAGAACCCTGATTTAATCAGCGATCATCTGACAATAACACCCACATCTACCAATGTGCCACAGAGGATTTCAGCTGTGGAGCAATGTTTCAGTCTCACTAACATGTTCTCCTTCCTCCAACCATGAAAGTCGGGCAAATACATTCAATGTAATTACCAGTCTCTCCTTTCATATCCAGTAAGCGGCCTAAGGATATGGTAATCTGATCAGCAGAGTCAATGATGTCAGTCAAACCTGCATTTTAACCCCGTTCCCCCAGCTCCTCTGAAGCCGCTAATGCCTCCAAAACTGATTCAGATTACATGTCTGATAAGTAGCCTGGGGCGATCTTGGCGACTTCACTTGAATGAGATGACAAACTGTCACATCGTCATGTCAGCAGGCGCCCGGTCCTTGCACAAGTGGGCACGGGGAATAAATATAGCTCCGACAGCTCAGGGAGGTGATGTTTGCGGCTGAAACAAAACCGAGCACGTGGGTGTTCGGTTTGACACCGAGCCTGTTCCTGCTGATTTTTCCGTAAAGGATGACTAAAACTTTCCTTCCGCTATTTAGATTTAACGTGACCAGCAAGGCGCCACGTTATATCATTGCAACCCCGTTCCCACTTCAATTTATACAAGCCGCTTCTCAGATGGGCAACACTTTATGGCACAGTTTGAAAACAACACAAGCTTGTGAAAATGTAATTGAAGGATTCTGTGGGATCTCAGTGCCTCCTAGTGGCAGAGACATCCCACTAGTGCACTGCACTGAGGGTTACATGGCAATTAGGATGGTTAAAGAAAACTGAAGCTTTGTTACTGCTATTAAACAGCATGAACACTAAACAGAAGCACAGAACATGACGACTGTTGTTGTGTTGCAGGTAAAGTCAAGCTGCTTCATCCTGGTGCGTAGTTTGGGATCTTAAAAGCACAGCTGATCACCCCACACTGTGGAAACATTTAGAAGTGCTCAACTGCATGGATTTAAAAGAAAATACACTGCTCAAAGAAATGAAAGAAAGATGGATTCTCCCCACCCGTCCATGTCTGTCACATGTGGTCAGGGTGAACCTGCTCTCATCTGTGACAAGCACAGAGCGCCAGTGGTGGACCTGCTAATTCTTATATTCTATGGCAAATGCCAATTGGGTGCTGGGCAGTGAGCACAAGCCCCATTAGAGAGTCCTCAGGCACCCCTCATGAGGTCATTTTGCACCTCTGGCAGTGCTCGACCTGTTCCTCCGTACTCAAAGGAGCAGATACAAGGCCTGCTGATGGGTTAAGGACCATCTACGACCCTGTCCAGCTCTCCTGGAATCTCCTCCATGCTCTTGAGACTAAGCTGGGAGACACAGCAAGGCTTCTGGCAGTGGTGCATACTGATGTGCCATCCTGGAGGATTTGTATTTCCTGTCCAACCTCTGTAGTGTCCAAGTATTACCTCATGCTACCCGTAGCGACACCGACCCAAGCTAAGTGCAAAAGTAGTGAAAATACAATGAGAACAGATGACGTGGGGAATAATGTCAGTGGCCTCGACCTGTGAATCCTGTATTTGCAGTGTCTCATTGTTGCACCTGTTGTTAATTTCATTAACACCAAAGCAGCTGAAACTAATTAACACCCCCTCTGCTACCTAACTGACCACATCAATATAAAGTTTCATTGACCTGATGACGCTCTGATTAAAAAGTGTTCCCGTAATTGTTTGAGCAGTGTATTAATGACTGCGTATGAGTAAGGCCCAAAAGAAAACAACAGCAGATTTAATGGGAGTTATTCCACTCAAGGCCAGAAAAAACTAATTTCAACTCTGTTGAACTTCCCACACGTCACAACCTTGAGCCAAAAGCACATTTTTCTCCATGACCAACTTTGAACATCGCTAACGTGGATATATCCGTTTCAAAAGCAAAGCTCTCCCAGTTGATTGTCTGTAGTGCAGAGTAACAGAAACAAGCCTTGGAGCTTTTTTCTGCTTTCTGATCATTCACAGAGGAAAACTTGAAAAAGTGCTTCTTGTTTACACTTTAAAGGATTGTATCAGCATGTGGGAGAGCTGGCTCATCGAAACAAGATCCATCTTCTGAAAGCTTACCCTTTTACCTTTTAATACCCAGCACAATTAAATTATTGTTAAAATAATTTTCCAATATAGTGAAAATTTAACAACCACAAATTTGAAGCCTTCAGTGTTTAATAAGCTTTACTTAAAAACAAGATAAGAAAGTGTGCTTAAGTAGTCAGGGACAGCTCTCCAGGCTTCTTGAAGGACAGTCAAAGCTCTTCTTTGGGTGTTGCCTCTTGTTGATGATCCCATGATGCTTCAATAATGCTGAGGTCCTGGCTGTGGGGAGGCCAGTCCATGTCTGATCATGTTCAATTGTGGTTTGTTTGTGTCTTTTCCACTCGAGGCATGTTTTTAGTGCACGCAACGTGAACCCAAATGCTTCCCTGATGGCACTGAATGCTGGATCACAATCCAACAGTAGTTGGACAAGATCTCAAACACCGCTGTCTGAGATGCAAGCCAAACTATAACCGAGCCGCCACCGTTTTCCCCTCTCTCCTGACTCTGTCTGTACAAATTGATTTGAAACATATTTCAAAATTGTTTTTTCATTTCATTCGAACTGTTGCCACCCATTTTCAGTCTTGTAATTTGTAATGAGTTCTGCAATTTGCCATATCTCAGTCTTTTCTCTTCCCTTCCTTAAGAAGGGAACAGTAGATTGGATCAACTGAAGGGCCAGAACCATCTCTCAGGTGCTGTGTCAAGTTGTTTTTTGACCTAATAAATCTTTGGGAATCAGCTTGTTGGCACAAAAATACTATTTTATGCCATTGGCTCATTAAATCGGAACTAATTGTGTGCGTTTTTGGTTTTTTTTTTTTTTAAAAAAAAAAACAAGCTGCTTGTTGCTTGCAAGTGCCAAATGATGCAATTTCAAACTGGTTCTTTGCCAAGTTGTCCGTTATGTGGAGACAACACCAGCTCATCTCTTGAGTTGGCGCTTATTTTTCCTCCCCCACACACACTTTAATGATTCATAGGTCAGTGTTACATGATCTAATTGATTAAGGCTTACACTACCACTTAAATCAACTAGTCAGAAACATTTAACAGGCATTAGAGCAGGGGTGTCCAACTCCAGGCCTCGAGTGCTGGTGTCTTGCAGGTTTTAGATGTGTCCTTGATCCAACACAGCTGATTTAAATGGCTAAATTTCCTTCTCAACATGTCTTGAAGTTCTCCAGAGGCCTGATAATGAACTAATCGTTTGATTCAGGTGCGTTGACCCAGGGTGAGATCTAAAACTTGCAGGATACCGGCCCTTGAGGCCTGGAGTTGGACACCCCTGCATTAGAGGATCCAATGTTCATTTAAAGCTCTTTTTAATCTCAGTAGCTTTGCACGATTCAGACCTGTGTGTCTTCTACTTATACCAGCTGCCTGTATTAAAACTGTCTTCTGACCCTTATAAACAGAAACTCTGGACAGCAGTTGTGATCCACTCTCAGTGACATCACAGAGAACCACGAGTTGGAAAAACTCTTAAACCTTAACATTCAGTGCTGTCTGAATATAAGGAAAAGCATAATGAGTGTCATTTAACGTGGACTTACTGAAAAGCAAAATGTAATTTAAAAATAAGAGAAAACAGAATAGACTTGTTTATTAATAAGTAAATGAGTTCAAATTTATTCAAGTTTTGATACAATATTTAACAGAAATGAGAAGGCGACCCTCAGCAGAGGTCTTCTGGCTACAAAGGAGCATAAGAGGGACAGAATCAGTGGTAAAAGGAGGCTCTCGAGTGAGAATGAATCTAACTGAACACAAAACTGATGCGAATACGTGAACAACAGTAAAAATAACATGAGGGGAAAAACCTGAAGCTTTCAATTAGATCTTAGTGTCGAATTGTTAAAAACACAGAAAACAGTTTTTCCTTTCACAGCCTCCCGACTCTGCCAAGCAAACATAACACACATCGTGAAGAGACTAGCCCACTCTGTGGATTACAGAACACCAGATATGAGTGCCAACAGTGGTTAGCCGTTCAATGCCTCGTAAATACAGCAGTTTAGCCACTCGAGCCGGGCGCTGTCCTAGTTTGATACAGACAACAAATGACAAGAATTCTGGTGAGCGTTCATGAGAGATGCTCAAGTGAGCATGAAAAGGGTTTAGTGTTACAGTCCTTTCATCAGCAGAAGCCCTTTCATTCTCCGAGAACGATGACAAAACAGTTCACCCGAATGCAACGCGTTTGTTTTTAGTGGCGCCGAACAACCTCGCTGAAGTGTGCGCCGTGAAAAAGGCACAATTTAAAATGTTCTGTAAACAAGAACGGGCTTTAAATGGTAGAGCCTCTCCTCGGTGCTTTTAGTGGTTCAGCGTGTCATCATCAGACAATCCTGCTCCTCTTAACAGCTAAGAGAGCGCATACAGGCCGCGGCGGTACCTGAGAAAGTGACCTGCTGAAATGTCCGCCATCATAATTAGTGTCATTTTAAACTGGCGATCAATATTAAAGCAAAGCTCTCGTACATGTCAAACTCTGGACAACATTGTAAATACCAGAGCCCGACAGATATCAGCCGATATCAGCATTCCTAATCGCGCATTAAAGTTGAAAAGTGGAAAGAAGACATGGCTGTAGAGCATATTTTGAGTGTTGATGTTGCAAACTTTTAGTTCAGAGATCACTCCTCTGTGACTTCTCGGTAAGCAACACCTGTTTGTTACACCACAGACAACAAGCAGCTGATCTGAGCACCTCCAGTTAGAGTGCTTTTAAACTACATGTGCCAAATCTTATGGAAATGTGGTTATGCTAAATATTGCTGCTTATAAGTTGGATTTTTAAATTGCCAGATATCAGTTTAGGTCTTAGTCATCCTACATCAGTGGGGCTTTGGTAAATACTGTGTATGAATCAGCCTTTAACTTATGAAATTGCACCAGGTGTAAAAGCTACTGGAACCCTGAGAAAAGCCAACATGGGCTTATAGCACACTGTGCTATGAGGCGTTCAGTCTAAGTAGCACAGAGTAATGCACTGTTCCAACACATCAGTAAACCTTAACAGTCATTGGTCATAGCCTAACCAATCAACATTCACCTGTTACTTTGTTATGTCATCACAAACGGCTTCATAGCCAAAATCTTTATTCCGTCACGCTGAGCCGCAAACTCAGTCTTAAACTGCACATCGAGACGATTCAAATGACCTCGATGCAATACGATAAATCTGAGGGCAATGAGAGCACGTGCCTGGACCGATAAATCGTCCTGACTTAAGGCATCTGAAATGAAAAACCTGGATGGGAGAAGGCCAAATAATGGACAGGTTTGCTTTAAACGCATCACTGCAAGGTAATACAAGACCAGCTGTAACTAAGACAAATCTGCATTAGTGTCTCCAACAAGTCGAGTGAATCAGTAATAAAGCACAACAATGTTCATCAAACAGTTGTGTACGAATGCTATCTGCAGCTGTTTGTCATCACAGAGCTCCAACACAAGCAGCAAGAGTCTAATGAATGACTTTGGACAGACTTCTAAACCTTTGGTGTACGTCACCTCTCCAGACCAGTTCACAGTGTCCCTGTAACTGACAAAGCTCTGGGTTCAAATCAGTCCTTTTTGTTGACACTGAAATACTGACATTGTGGAGAAGAGCTGTCAAAAAGGCCTCAAAAACAGAAACAACCTGCCTCAGAGTGTGTGTCAGCTCCAGTCCAAAAGAGAAGAAAAGAGGCCTGGATGGCAATGGAATTACATGGAAGTCTCCTTCACTAGTTTGGCTCCTTCAACTAGTTTATTGGATCCCGTTAATATCCCATTTACATGGAAATTCCATTTATTCCTTCATATCTGTTCAGAGAAGCGGAATATCCAGAGGCAACTGGTCCAAGTCGACAGAGGAGAAGAGGTCAGTGATGCCCTCCCCGTCAGCCACGCTCACAAAGCAGCCCTCCTCATTGTGAGAGAAGGCCACAGGGGGACTGAGAGCAACAAAACTGCACTCAGAGGGGGGCTGGGGGGAGGTGAGAGTGGAGGGCATAGGAGAGCGCTGCTGTGTCGGCTCAGACTGAAGCTTTGAGAGATTATCAATTCCACAACTGCTGTTAGCGTTTTCTGGAATGACACGGGAGTGTGAATGAGGAGACACCGGTGAGGAAGAAAGTGATCAAAATCACCCAAAAATCTCAAACCAGAGTTGGAGCTGGGCACAGTACCGTTCAAGGCTCCTGTGACAGCAACGCGGTTACGGGGATACGTCGTTTCCTCGTCCTCTGTGGCACCAGAGCGACAGGACGCTCAAACACAAGACTCACCTCTGGAAGACTGAGCGAAGGCCGCGAAGGGCAAATCGAGCATGGAGTCGCTGTCATTTAAATAACTTCCACTGCCCTCGTCAGCAGCTGAATAACCTGTGGCTTCGATGGGGAGGGGCTCATCGGAGCACATGAACACATCAATGGGTCCCTGAGTGCTGCTGAGGTGGATCTGCAGGCTCTGAGCATTGAGAAAGCAGACATGTGAATTTTGATTAACGACTCAAAAACAGCAGCAGTTCCACTAGAGAACAGAAATGACTCTAATAACGTTACACCTTGTCCGACTGACATGTACCTCGTCTGGGTGTGGCACTACGAGTTGAGTCTCTGCGGGGGCTTTGATCACGATCACAGTCTGATCTTTCAGAGTGGGAATCCTATAGATATCCTTGTAAGTCAAATAGGCGTATGTGAGCCACAAAGTCAAGGAAGACAATAAAGACAACAGACTGGTGTTTGTGTGCTGCTGGAGCTTAGAGTTCAATGGACTCCAAAACTCATGCACGTGTCGCACCAGCAGTGTGGTTTCACCTACATCGTGTCAGCTTTTCGAATCATAACTGTACGACTGCAGGACACCGCATGCTCACACTGCAACAGTTTCTTTATCACAAGGTAGACCTGTTTTCTTTACAACAATATGAGCCACAATTCATAAAACAAACACCAAAAAAACCACTATAGACCCATTAGGAAGGTGTTTTTCCCCCTGCCACAGGAGAGGCAGATTTATCCCACTTGGGCTTCAGTTTTCCTTTTAGCCAAGCCGGCAATTAAATACAATACATTTGTGATAATACATCAATCAAATGTGATCAAGTGGCAAAATTCACACATTTGTTGCCAACTACAAACATCAAAACTCACATTAACTACTGGCCAAAATGTCACTGATGTAAAACAGGCATTCCCAACAAATATGACACAGCTGCTGTAGGTGGGATTTAACTACAAAATGACCCGCACGCTCTTTAACGCAGGCACAGTGCAATCAGTCCGTCTGCGGTTATGAATTGGATGGCAGTTATTTTCAAACCTGCAGTTGGTCTGAGCCAATCCACGATTGCTGGGAGACAAACTGCCCTCCCACCAGGCAACCAATCACCCTGTAATTAAAAGCGGGCGTTGTGGACCAGCTGGTTGCTGCAACTACTTGGAATCGGCCATCAAATTTGATTTGAAAAAATAAATAAAAAATTCAACGCAATCACCAGACAACCACTGCTTTTTATTAACCACAAGTCGGGTGCGTTCTGAAACATTACTGATAATTAATTCCAGGTATTGTTTGCTCTTTGAAAGCTAGTATTTTTCCTTGATTGGAACAAATAAACTTTTCCTCCTTTATGCCAACAGCACACACACCACTACAGTAAAGACTGTCTCTGGTCAGCCATTATTAAATGTTGACAGTTTACAAAGAAAGAGATGTACCTCTAGTGCCACCTGCATGTCTCATGAAGTCAATGCAGTTTGAAAGGCAGACATACTGAGACTTTGAGAACACCTCAGGGCTCCTGGTGCTGTTACTTTAACTGCAAACACTAATATTTTTATCCGAGCAGTTTTACCCATTAAACCTGCCTTCAGAGTATTTCCTGGGTGACAATAAAGAGTGAAATGAAGCTGAACAGACAAAGGATATCTGTGACTGTGGCAGTCCTCACACAGCTCATGAATCTGCTCCGTACAGCTTTGGATCAGCTCGTCCAGCTTCCTCTCCTCCTCGCCAAGAGCCTTTAGCACAGGCTGATAGTCTTCACTCAGTTGTCCGCCCCTGTGCACAAGCATTCAAAAACACCCAGGTCAACAGCTAAACAAGCAACACTCAAGGTATCCAATGTGTCTGAGCATTAGAGGCAGAAAAAAAAGCCCCCTTGCCCTACTAAATACAGTGGCTTGCAAAAGTATTCGGCCCCCTTGAACTTTCCCACATTTTGTCACATTACAGCCACAAACATGAATCAATTTTATTGGAATTCCACGTGAAAGACCAACACAAAGTGGTGCACACGTGAGAAGTGGAATGAAAATCATACATGATTCCAAACATTTTTTACAAA